CGAGGTGAGGGGTCGCCGCGCGTCGCACGCACGCACGTGCGCTTGTTTACAGAGGGCGGGCGAGGTTAGGGGGCGCCACACGTCACACGCACGCACGTGCGCTTGTTTACAGAGGGCGGGCGAGGTTAGGGGGCGCCACACGTCACACGCATGCACGCGCGCTTGTTTACAGAGGGCGGGCGAGGTGAGGGGGCGCCACACGTGGCACGCACGCATGCGCTTTTGTTTGCCACTGAGAGGCAGCATCTATTCCTTGCCCTTACCTATGCTCCTACGCTGATTCTTATTTTTATTCCTAAATTTACACTGACTCACACCCTTGCCTATACCCAACGAATGTGTATGTATGTTTTTAGCTCGCCTTGACATCGTCAAGATGAGCTATTGCCATTGGGTGTCGTCTGTCATACGTCCGTCCGTCATACGTCCGTCCGTCATACGTCCGTCCGTCCGTCTGTGCGTCCGTCCGTCCGTCAACATTTGGCTACGGTCAACGATAACTCAAGAACCGTTTGACCCACATGTTTCAAATTGCATATAGTTGTTACTCCTATGGGAGAGGTTTGAACGTCGTATTTTGGAGCACGCCAGTTGACCTACATTCGAGCCACGTCCACTTTTTGGGAAAAATGGAAATGGCCATAAGTCAGTTCAGGTTCAACAGATTTTGCTAATTTCTAGTATGTGAATGAATAAGGACTGGCCCCAAAACATACCACACAGGTTTTGATATTTTTTTTAAATTATGCAAATTAGGTAGATTTTGGCAATTTCACTATGCATTTCAGTGTCTGCCTATGGTAACGGTCCACGATAACTCAAGAACCGTTTGACCCACATGTTTCAAATTGAATACAGTTGTTACTCCTATGGGAGAGATTTGAACTTCCTATTTTGGAGCATGCCAGTCGGCCTACTTTCGAGCCACACCCACTTTTTGGCCAAAATGAAAATGGCCATCTAAATTCATTCGATTTTGTTAAATTTTGGTATGTGAATGTGTAAGGCTAGCCCCAAAACAGTTGTTACTCCTATGGGAGAGATGACAACGTCCTATTACGTTTATTTCGTCTAACTGGTCAACAACTCTACAATCATACCTATATACGTGTAATATTATGTTTTAGATTCTTCGTTACAGTAATTTGACTGGAATATTTTATTGTTTTTATTTGTGCGATATTCGAAAACCCAAATGGCGATCATTTAGGCGTAGCACCATCTCTCGTCAAGATTTCAGACTTCCAGATTTGAAACATTTATTTTCGCATCAAAACTTATGCATATATCATTATCAAGAGTATGTAATGGGAGATATGCTATACAATGGGAGTTCTCCCATATATACTCTTGCTTTATATATCCCCCTCCCTCTTCTATCACACCCAAGGTGAGCTACATTGTCATTGACTATTTCATTAAAGAATACAGTTGTTTACACGTGTATGTATGTGTGTGCGTTGGTATCGCGCAGTCACTTACACTTGTTCATGTGCGTGTGCGTTGGTGTCCCCAGGCGAAGGGTCTGTTCTCGATCAGCGTCTTCGAACGCTACATCTACGGCAGCAACCGACTAGAACAGTCTCTGATGCGCTTCAACAAGTTCGACGGATCCCAGAACACAACGCTCGTGCGCTCGCTCGAAGCTTACACGCTACACGTGTTCCACCGGCAACGGCAGCCAGACGGTGAGAGCGTTGTTGTTGTTGTTGTTATTGTTGTCCTGTTGTTCTTGTTGTCATGCTGTTATAGTTCATTCACTAGAAGCACTGCACATGTTCCTCCAGCAGCAGCAGGTGGTGAGATTTTTATTGTTATTATTATTATTATTATTATTATTATTATTATTATTATTATTAATATTATTATTTATTATCTGTCACGTGTACCCATGCTGCTATCACACGCGTACCATCTCTCCTCACATGCCAGCCCATGACGCCTACAGCAACGGTGTCTGGTTCACTTGCAAGCAAGTTTATTAATTTAATTGGCCGATATCCCCGTTGACATTAGAAATGTCAAGGAGTGCTCTACTAATTATTGTGTTATTGCCCCAGTGATCTGACATTAGCTATTTTGTCCATCCTGACATTTGCAAACGTGAAAGTGAAATGCCAGTGGCAGTATCCGCCCTTCAAAATAACCTTGTGGTATGGCTAAGAATAACATATATACACAACAGACCAAACAGCTTTCGGGTTTTTCTTTGAAATCATTGAAAGGTGTTAATTTATCAAAGGCGTTGAAATGAGAAGCCAGCACCATGTTTTGCATTGCACACACAAGTTTTTCATGCATATATTTTTATGTAGACACAATAATGAACTTGGGTTGATGCGTAAATTCAGCTAAATAAACGTTCAAACTTTGTTTGATGATGTTATTGACGGAATTAAGATAATAGCGGCGTTCACACGTAGCAAGAAATCCGGTATTTAGCGTTCACACGAGGCAAAATGCGCGGTCCAAGAAATACGGTATCTAAACAGAACCGGTATTTGATGTAAATACGCGGCTTCCCAGACCTCGAATAATTTGCGGTGCTTGAGAAATACCGGATCTCTTGCACCGCGCATTTCCTCGTGTGAACGCTAAATACCGTATTTCTGAAGCCGCGTATTTGATAGACAGTTCCAGTGTAACGCGAGTGGAACTGTCGAGCGCGGACCAGTCTACGTATTTTATCAGCAGTTGGTGCGCATTGCATTGTTTATTTCACATTGTTTGCTTGATTGTTTAAAGCAGCTCGCAGCGCGCAAATACCGTATTTCTGGAGCCGCGAATCAGCGTGTGAACGCTCGGCCGCGTATTTGTCTCAGATTCGGTATTTCGCAAATACCGTATTTCATAAATACGAGGTCTCGTGTGAATGAGGCTATCATTGAAATTATTATGTAACAGCTTTAGGTTCTTTGCTTCAAGATTTTGTGTGTGTGTGTGTTGATGTATAGACACAATATTTATGTTGTATTTTTTGCATCGAAGTATAGACTCAATATTGCTGGTTTTGGATTTGCTGGGCAAAAATTCTGAATACTGGCTTCTGTTGGTCGACCTTTCTGTAAGGAAAGATGCTTTGGGTCCATAGTCATTCTCGTTTTCACATAATAATACTACTACTACTAATAATAAAAATAATTGCGATTCCATGATCATATTTCTGCGATTCCATTCTTCTCTGTGATCTGATTTCTCTACCGTTGTTCGTGCCGCTTTCAGCCGAACACCCGTGTTCGCGGAACAACGGTCAGTGCGATCACCTGTGCTTCACCGTGTATGAACGCACAGAGAACAACACCCAGGTGACGCCGCTAGCCAAGTGTGGCTGCAAGGCAGGCTACCTCGTACAGGACGACGGAGCGTGCAAACGTAAGCATTGCTAGAGAGAGAGAGAGAGAGAGAGAGAGAGAGAGAGAGAGAGAGAGAGAGAGAGAGAGAGAGAGAGAGAGAGAGAGAGAGAGAGAGAGAGAGAGAGAGAGAGAGAGAGAGAGAGAGAGAGAGAGAGAGAGAGAGAGAGAGAGAGAGAGAGAGAGAGAGAGAGAGAGAGAGAGAGAGAGAGAGAGAGAGAGAGCGAAAGACGAGAGAGAGAGAGAGAGAGAGAGAGAGAGAGCGTGAGAGAGAGCATATAATACCATCTAATAACATCGCTCCTGATCTCTCCCACTTGCGCAGCCACGACTCAGAAGTATTGACAAAACACCGTATGCAACATGCGCCAACAAATCATAATCTCTCCCGATGTGCAATTCATAATTCATAATTGTCTCCGTGCGCAGCCGCGACTTCTCCCCTCTCCACTCTCTCTCTCTTCGTAATCATAACTATAATCCCTCTTGTCTCCTGCGCAGCTGCGACCACTTCCCCAACCCTGACGATAAACTAACGATAATAACATAGAATAACATCGCTTCTGATCTCTCCCACCCGCGCAGCCACTCTCGCTCTCTCTTCGTAACAGGGTTTCTTCTACATAAGAGGCACAGCGGCTCACCGCCGTTGTCAAATTTAACATCGCCGTTGTGAAAGTGTTCCTGTATTTACCCGCCGTTGTGAAAATAGTGTCAACCCAAAAATAAGTAGATCTGATCACCACGTGCTTCTAGTATATTTAGATCGCCATGTGCGTTTATTGAGTTATGTGACGCGGGGTCTACACTTTTCCGTTATTTGATTGGTTGGAATGCCATCCATTTCCCCCCCCCCCCAAAAAAAACTGGCCATTACCTCCTTTGTTTAATTTCCCCCCAGAAGAAACCCTGTATACGAAGAGAGAGCGAGAGTGGCTGCGCGGGTGGGAGAGATCAGAAGCGATGTTATTCTATGTTATTATCGTTAGTTTATCGTCAGGGTTGGGGAAGTGGTCGCAGCTGCGCAGGAGACAGGAGGAATTATGATTATGATTACGAAGAGAGAGAGAGAGAGTGGAGAGGGGAGAAGTCGCGGCTGCGCGCCGAGACAATTATGAATTATGAATTGCACATCGGGAGAGAATATGATTTGTTGGCGCATGTTGCATACGGTGTTTTGTCAATACTTCTGAGTCACGGCTGCGCAAGTGGGAGAGATCAGAA